GGGTTACGTTTACAGATAAAATCAATGATAAACGACACGTCGTTTCGTCGGTAGAATTTTCGCTGAAACGCGATCACCAGCTTTTTCGACCCTGAGCCAGTAATTATTCATCCCCGAGATTCTGTTGTCGCGTTGATTAACACCCACCGATTAACTCTTTTTCGGTTTGTTTTTGTTCGACGCTGTCGCTCGGGATCAAAAGCCTGTGAATGTGTCTTAGCTACTGATACAATCGATCACCGATTGCCGATTATACTTCACATTTTTATTTAACCCTTTGAACTCGGGGGCTCTGGAACAGAGCCATTTAAAATTTGCGAAATGTAAAATCTTTTCTTTAAATACATTATAAGATTTACATCTATAATCTATGATAAACAATAAAATATGTCTATGACTTCTCTTTTCATGCGCATAGCATTTATTTATATGTTAATATGCTTTTTCTATTAAAATTCCGAATTGCTGGTAATATTAGTGAGAGGAAGCTTCCAGTGCAAAGGGTTAATTTCCTTTCATTTATTTCCACATTTATACATGTTACATAATATTTAAACATCGTTATTGTCAGTCGTAACTCCTATACCATAGTCACATGTATTTTTCACTGAAATATCTGAACAGTATTGCTAAATCATAGTATTAATTATCGGTTGTGAATTCATTCACAAGTTGGAAAAGAGATTAAAAATTTCAATTTCACCAAAACGATGAGATTATAATTTCACTTAACAGAGGTTTCAAGTCAAAGAATCTCAATGCATACCTTCGATTAATATTTTCATGTACAATTATCCTACTTCCAGTTGTAAAATTGACAAATGCACTTTACTATTGATTATTATTTTCCATTCTACTCGATGACAGTCATTCCCTCTACTTTTACATCTATCGAGTAAAAATCTACTTACTTATCAGTTGTGATTTTTGTATCCACTATGGTTTCTTCTCCAACAAAAAATTCCGGAATCACACCTCTCTTTATCTCACCGTTACGTTGTGACACTGTCTATTCCAATGTAAGTGACAACTTGTCAAAACGCCTGTGGCGTTTTGTCATACGGTAGATGTCTACTGCGGGAGCAAGTCGCAACTGCTTGATCAGAATAGATTCGGGTGGCCCCGGCCTCGCAGGTGATACCAATAGGAAACATTTTTCAAATGTGTAACCCATATCCATTAATTAAGACCACTTTTCCGCTGCTGGAAACACGTTTGGCGACTTACACCCAATACCGTGCGTACACATTGCTTAACAGGTCACTGGAAATGGTCCCAAGAAAGTCACACAGGGTGCGGCTGAAAGTGCGAGCTGACAGGAAGTGATCCGTTATGCGAAACCAAATTGAAAGTGTGGAATCGCATTTTTCAGGACTCGCGAGTCCAGGATAATGTGTACCTATCTATTTTAGACAAACTCGCATTTGCATAGTCATTCGTGGTACATTCTTTCGGCGTTATTATTTCTACGTTGCTGCCTCGAGGTTTCATCGAAGTTTTATCGATAATGAATATGGTAACTCGGAAGATTGTAATTAATGATTGTTTATAATAGTTTAGATACGTCACTGTTGTATATTCGACATATATAAAAAATCAATGGCAGCTGTAAAATTAACATTAATTTCGTGTACTGAACAGGACAAAGAAAAAATAAAAGAATTAAAAAATGAAGAATGAAGAAGAGTGAATAGTAGTTACTCAAATTTCTTGTTGTCAAGTGCCCTGAAAAGTGGTCATTCTCGTTTATCCAGCTTCGTTAACATTTTGTGCTCAATATAGAGTAAAGAAAAAATAAAAAGATTAAAACATTAAAACATGTAAACTGGAAAAGAGTCAAGAATAGCTATAAAACTGTTTCGTTGCCGAATGACATAAAAACTGGATTTCATATTTTTTGTTTCACAATCAACACCTCAGAAGCATAGAATATTCGAAATGATTTTGAAAATGAATTGTTTCACTCGAGTACTATAACGAATGTCCGAAGAAACTGAAAATAATCTATCGTTACAATTTTTACAAACTGCATGTCAGTCGTATTGAATGCTCGGTAGTTCTATTAACTCCTTGCCGTAGAATAACCTGTCAGACTCGCGGCGAAGATTTTATACAGAATTCAACAGGGATGAATATTACTCGGTTCTTTTGAATTCAAATGAAATATTGTTCTTCTGTTATTAATCATTGTTCCTTAAAGCAAAAATTAATGCAGGATATACCTACAAGTTTTCTCTTTTTCTTAACACTGAAACTACCGGCGGGTCAAAGTGACCCATTTCTGATTTCTTCTTTTTGTTATGATTAAATGAGTGACATGTTTCTCTAAGAAATTATTAAAAAAATTAATTTAGCAATAAATAAACTGAATTTTAAATCAATTGAAGTCTCAATAGATGTAGCCTTAGAGTTTCTATATAGAAATTTCAAAGAGTTAATTTAACTGCTCGGTAGGTTTACTGCTAACATATTGCGTACCGGAAACGAGAGATCTCTTTCCTATACAAGGACACTTAGCTATGCAACTTCGCTAATTACCACAGCATTGAAAAAAAATATAAAATTTGATTCGAATTGATTATCTATTTAAAATATATTACATAACAATATGATATCTGAGTTTTTCTATGTATAGTGATACAAGTTGATCCCAGTGAAAATTGCCATTACAATTCAGTTTTCTGAAAATTAGCAAGTAGTTGTATCGGTCGTAGTTGACCAATAAATCGCAAGGCAAAGGGTTAGCAGACATTTCGTCGCGTTCCAAGGCAGCCGAATTACGGAATCAGCTGAAATGAAAAATAAATACCGCGACGTAAGAACAGCGGCACCGTATAATTCGTTCGTAAAGCTACAGCGCAGAGAGCGCGTGCGGTCGCGAAACCACGGCGAATGATACGGCGGTCGGTATTGAATTCAGATTAAGCTCGGTGGCCGGTTCTAGCATCGGTATCTTGATTTAATAAAAGTAAGCCGTACAAATCGCACCGTAAATCGAATCGACGCACCGTATTACCCGAACGGGGCGCAACATGCATCTCCCGTTCGCGATATATGGGAACTATGTACTACATACGTAGGTATAAAAGTACGCGTGTAGATGTACACTTGTGTACGTACGTATAGGTATCTGTTGTCGACTTAATTAATGCGTCGACTGACGCAGTGATCGCGAATGACCGAAGCTTCTAAATTGCTCGAACGTAATTACTATAAGACATGGATGTTGAATCTAAATATTTAAGGTAAAAATTGTGATAGTAAATCGTTAGATTACTATAATATTACTATTTTATAATAATGGTATTGTAAAGTATTAAAATTAATAATAATAATAATAATAATAATAATAATAATAATAATAATAATAATAATAGTATTATGATGATATTGGAAGTTTATAATAATAATAATAGTATTATGACGATATTAGAAATTTGTAATAATAATAATAGTATTATGACGATATTGGAAGTTTGTAATAATAATAATAGTATTATGACGATATTGGAATCTTGTAATAACAATAATAGTATTATGATAATATTAGAAATTTGTAATAATAATAGTATTCTGATAATATTCGAAATTTGTGATAGTAATTATAGTATTACTATCAGAAAATTACAAGAATCTATAGTAATACTATCGTCGTTATAATATTATCAACACTAAAACTACCAAGCAGTTAAATTGACTTTCAAAAATTCCTTCGCAGCAACTCGCGGAATGTATCTCTTGCGACTTTAATCGATGTTCAATTTAGTTCTCGCTAAATTTTCGTTAAATTAATGTCTTCGATCATTTCTCAGAGAAACATCTGTTGTCTTTTAACTATTCCAACTCCGAATTGTACATTATTTTTCTATTATTAATCGCAATGCTTCCGAGTAAAAGTAGATATAAAATAAATGTACAATTTTTCCCTCTTCCTAATGATTCACGAACAATCAAATGCCTCTGTGAGTTCAGTTGCGAAGGAAGTCATAGGGCAAGGGGTTAACGACGAAAAACGTGAAACTGTATAATAAAAGAAGAAAAACACTTTTCGAACAATTCTCGTCATTTTAATTCAGCATACATTTATATTACATCTTATCGTAGATTCTACCCCTCCGATTTTGATTGTCCTCTTAATTACTGGCTAACAACAGACCGATCGTATCATGAATACATGAGCCACATGCTGAGTCGCCGGCCGTACGCGTGAGATTTTGCGTGACCCACACGGTGGGTCATCGGTCTCGAACCTGTGAACACTGCGGAACGAACTTACCCTAATTTGAAACGCGGCGCAAAATTCTGCGGATCGACAACTCGAGAGGAGAAAGTTTCTTCAAATGATTCCCTTCCGTCGATCGCAATTATACGAGACGCTCAGAGGTCGATTTCAGTTAAACCGTTTGTTTGATATCTTCTGATTTCCATCAATTTTAATGGAATAAATAATATTCTTGTTAATTATTTAAGGATTTACTCGTTGCTCGTTTTGTATGTCGGCAAGCTTTTTTTTATAGCTTTTGAATATGTATAATTATTTTGGAAACTATTGTAAATGATTTCTCGATGTTTGTTTTCTAGGTTTAACCGCATTGAGCGACTATGTTGTAATATTTTCATGTATCTTCCGTTTGTTTTCGCATTTCGGATCGGATGTGAAATTAAATCGATATGATTGTAGCACGGTAGGATCTTGGTTAATCGAGTTAATTTAATGATGAATCGAGTCAGTTCAACCACTTGCTTTATAATCTATTTCTCAACAGTGACGAATACAACTACCTTGCCATTAATAATTTATTAACATTAGATTTACGGAATGAGCCAATTTGACTCACATTGAATTTTATAAACATTATTTGGTAAATGTTTGGGTTGGCTTTAATTGATTCAATTAATCATTATCAATTTTTCTGGAAACAATAGAATAAACTACAATAAATGTTCGTGAATCTCGTGTTAAAAAGAAAGAAAAATTCTAGGTACACTCTATGTCTCCTCTAAACTATAATAATTGATAACAGACGAATAATATTTTGTTTAAATTTACAATTGAATAATATTCATGCTTGTTAAATTCTTTTCAAACTCTTCACCGCGAGTCCGACACGATATTACAAAGCAAGAGGTTAATAATCGATCGAGCTAATAAAATAGTTGACCGAGTTAATCCAACGAATACTCTTTAACAATTAACCGAGTTAACAATCATTCACCTCGATTTACCGAACTATCCTCCTCGATCGATAGATTGCCCAGAATTTTATATAAATCGGTACTCAATCATTCGGATTCTCAGACAGTAAAACTCGAACCATACACGATCCTACAAGTATCGAGGTTCTATTGTACTTCCATCGTTTGCTTTCAATTTCGAACTTTTCCCCTTTTAACCCTAATTGGACCGCGATGCGACTTTGCGTCACATTTGAACTTTTTACTTAAATTTCTTGACTATCTCCTATTGCAATTCCAAAAGTTTTTGTTGGCTTTGAAAATTTCGGCCCTATAAACGAGAACAATATTTGAATCGATATATAATCAATAATATTATATTATAATCAATAATATTTTTCACATCGTGGTATGATTAGGGTTAATCGTACGCTCCAGACGAGCATGCGGCACGTTCCAGAAAATCGTGATCGACGAAGAAACGCGAGGGTGGCGAGTGCAAAGGTTCACGCGATCTCCTCTTTATTTCGACTGAGAATGTTCGGATATACAAAAAAAGATAGACTCGTTGTTTTCGGTACTCGCATGTTCCATTGAACGAGCCCGCGCCACGCTGGGAGCTCGAAGGATCTGGCCGCTTACAAAGTATTAAAATAACGCCTGACGTATTACGATCAAGTAACAAAATACAGTACACCTAAATTAATTGGTAGAGCTTGACACTCTCTTTCTCTCTCTCTCTCTCTTTCTTTATTTCTTTCTCCACTCGTTTAACCTCTCACTCCTCCCTTGCTGTGTCTCTGTAACAGACAATGAAATTGGAATTAATGGATTTTAAGATTGATAGTGTTATCGGTGTTTAACACGTTGAATGCCGCACGATTTCATTGAGCAAAATATACAAAGAAGAAATATAGTATTAAATCATTTGATTGAATCATGATTATTACATGACGAGCTGGTTGAATGTCATCGAATTAGGTAGTATTGTTTATAATATAGAAATGTTTTCAAATAATCATCGTTTAATTGAGTGAACTACGAATCGTCGCAAATGTCACGGAAAGTAACAAATTTCTGTACAAGGTGTTAACATTATTACTAGCCAGCGTTTTTTTTTGTAAATAGTAGATAATATTGTTTTTTGTACGCAACACAATGGCGTACGGAATCTTTTTGCGTTTATACTATTTTGTTAGATATGAAAGTGACCTTCATTTTTTTAAATGGAACTCCGTATATTTTTTTATATCACATAAACGCGTGTGTCTAAACAGATTCATTTGTATACTGCACAGTGTCCATTAAGACCATGCAAGATCATAAATGGAAGAAACATTTCGAACACTCTGTGAATACCCTGTATAATACTTGTTGTTTTAGCATGAATTAATATGTTTTCATTTTTTTTAATGGAATCTTGTATGTTTTTTATATCATATAAAAGCGTGTGTCTAAAAAAATTCATTCGTATACTGCACAGTGTCTATTAAGGTCATGCAAGGTCAGAAATGGAAGAAAAATTTTTGATGAATTAATGCGTTTTCCTTTCAAAAGGAGATTAAAACTGACGAGAAATAAATGAGATTCTTACCGCGAGTTCCTTGTCTTTGCGGCCGACAATTTTGCACTGAGAACGCCCAATGACACCGTACTGGTATTCGCACGAGCAATCCTTCTCGAGTTCTAAATTAGCGAGGCCATCGGCAACCCTCCTGGCGGCCACTTGGATAAATTGCTTCTTCTGATGCGGCTTGGCGTCCAGGAAGTTGTCTAAACTGAACATCGCTCCGCCCGTCTGTAACAAGTTTGGATAATGATCGTTTCATTTCCCGCTTGATCGGGCAAACACTCCCCCGATCGCGAACAGAGACACCGTGAGCCACAATTACAAAAGGAGCACTCGAATTTGCATCTTGTTTTACGCTCATTGATCATCGTGGATAAGTACTTAATCGTTCAAAGCGCTGAAGCACTCGAATTTAGGAGTGTAACTTCAAAGAGAAGCAACACGTGAAACGAGGTGAAGAAGAATAATTAGTTTGATGGGAAGTTTAGAGAAAAAATGATTATACTTCCGGTAAGTTTCGATTATCATTACAATTGAAGAATGTTGAAATCATGAACTTTTTTTAGAAAGTTTCCACGAAGTTCGATTTATGTGAAAGTTGGATTGAAAGTAGAGATCGTTAATTTTAGAGAGAAAAATCATTTGATCTATGACAAGTATCGAAAAAATTGAATTGAAACTGTAGATGCTTGATTTTAAAAACCAAAGGAATCATCCAATTTCTAATAAATTTCACTTTCTACAAAAACTATTAAAAATAAAGATCATCCATTCCAGAAAATGGAAAAGAAAATCGTCTCGTTCCTAAAAAATTTCTACTTGCTTAAAAACTCAATCCAAAATAAAGATAATCGACGAAGCTAAAAAAATCATCTCATATCTAATGCATTTCACTTTCTAAAAAAACCATTAAAAATATAAATCATCCATTCCAGGAAAGTAGAAAGCAGAATCGTCTCGTTTCTGACATATTTCGACGTACACTGCCATGATTCTCGGCGCGCCATATTTCCTGGATAGTTTGAATAATAGGGAAAGGATCACTTGTTGAACACTTACGGAAACCGCGAAGTCAGCGCAGACGTCAGTGGTCGAGACGGTGAGATCGTTCTTCATGTCGGTGGATCCGGTGAGTGGCTTCTTTTTGCTGTCAGCGAACGTGTACGCGCTATCTTGGTCGTACCCGACGATATTCTTCTGCGGCTTGCCCGATACGAGGAGCTCTTTGGGGTAGAACATGTGGTAATAGGTGAGCCCGAGATCGCGATAAGTTTTCAGTCCCAACAGGAGCCTTATCTGCTGAAGCTAAAAGGGAAACAAGATTTTTTTTTTCGAAAACAACTTCAAATTTTCATCGATCGAATCCACTGGAAATAAATCGTTTGATTTCTCCAACATAAGAGGAATTTATTACGATATTCAATTTAAATGAATTTATTTTTCACTATAATTGTCCATTATTTTTTGCTCAAGTATTAATAATATTATTTGGAACATGGAGAAGAATCTTAGGTAAATTAACAGTGAGAATTTATTTTTGTGGTTTGTATGTTGATAATACGAAATTGGAAATTGAATTTTAAAGTTTCTGATTTTCTTATATCAGGTCAAATTAATACTATAATATTAATACTATAATATTTGATATTTAATATTATATATATAACGTATTCGTTTGAGAAATATTGAAATAAATTAGCTTTGTTTCTAATGTATGGTTTTTCTTTCAGTTAGTTTCATAAAATATCGTTCTTATCTCATTAGAGAATGTTCAAATGTTTCTACTGAAAAACTTCCGAGTGCAAAGGGTTAATATTCAATTGAATTTAATGATACTATTAAATGTAGAATTAAATGCGTTGGGTTATGTTAAATATGATTTAATGGGAATTATTGTGTAACGAGAAACGTATCGTTTAATGATACGGTTCATGTTTATCTTAGGAAGATTGATGATTATTAAACATGCGTCATTTCGATCGAGTAAAACGATTCCGGGAATTTATTTATTGACGCATGAGAATTTAATTCAATTCAGTGTTTTCGATCGATTGTTTTACTTAGTAAGGATACTAGTTTGCGGGAATTGCATCGGAAGTAAATTATTGTGCAAGCTAATTTCCCTCGGTTTTGAAGTGATATTATTTCGCAAGGGAAACTTAAAATAACAATCTTCTACTGGAATTCTATTATTTGAATTATATTCTTGAAAATTTGAATGTTCAATTTTCAATGTTCAATGTTCAATGTTCAATGTTCAATGTTCAATGTTCAATGTTCAATGTTCAATGCTCAATGTTCAATGCTCAATGCTCAATGTTCAATTTTCAATTTTCAATTTTCAATTTTCAATTTTCAATTTTCAATTTTCAATTTTCAATTTTCAATTTTCGATTTTCGATTTTCAATTTCCAACTTCTAATTTTCAATGTCTAATTTCTAATTTACAATTTACAATTTACAATTTACAATTTACAATTTTCAATCTTCAACATCCAATGTTCCAGCTTCTAATTTTCAATCTTTAATTTCTAATTTCCAATTTCCAATGTTCCAATCTCGAACGTTTCAACTCCCAATCTTCAATTTTCAATTTCCAACCTCTAATTCCTAATTTCTAATAAATTCGAAGAAAAATTATACTTACGGAGATAGGGAGGGGGCTCTTCTCGCAGATGTTCGTGTGCACACCGATAACAGCCTTAGCCGCGGCAGGTCTGAAGGGATAACGCACGGCTTCCTGATAAGCGTCGGTTAATTTCATGGTGCCCAGCTCAACGTCCAATTTCTGGCGCAAGTACTGAAGAGAATTGGTGATGCTCTCCTGCGTTATATCCATATCCAAAATTGCTTTTTCCGTCTCCTGGAATCGATTATTTTCCTTCGTGAGTCACGCGAAAATCATTAACACTAACTACTAGACCGGTCAAATGACTGATTTCTTCTTTTTGCAATTATTAGGAAGCTAACAAATATTTCTCTGAGAAATTATTAAAGAAAATCGTTTAGCACTACGCAAATTGAATTGCAAATCAGTTTAAGTCCGAACAGATGCACTCTTAGAGTTTCTATAGCGAAATTTTCAAAAGTCAATTGAACTGCTCGGTAGTTTTAGTGTTAAGCTAATCTATAACTGGACGGTTCAAAGATTTCCTGAAACTCGATCGCGTAAACATCAGCATCACGTTCCTCTACGTTCACTGTTCCGCCTGTCGTTTGCGTACTAATTAACATAATTAACGAACTATTTTTCTTCCGCGTCAAGATCAGTCAAATCTTTAATTTGTTTTCCTCGCGTGATTCATCGTTGATAGTTGGCTAAATGACTTCACGTTTCCAATTGACGTTAAACTAACTAAATCAATCATTCATTTTAAAGATATACGTTCTTTTCATTCTATCAGAAAAATGTATCGATGTTAATAATTAAAATTAAGATACCTTCTTTCATCCTTCATGATGAAATATAATTTGCAAGACATGAAATAGAAGTGATTAGAACGCATTAAACTGAAACCGAACAACGTTGGCTTCTAGAAATTTGTCGAAACAAGTAGAAGATACTCGAAAATATTTTCTCTGAAGTTCTCGTCTCTTTAGCGGAAATTTTGTTAACACGTTCGGGGACAGTGCAAATTTGAATAAGTCACGAAAATAGGAAAAATGCAAATGCCGTACTCCAAGGGTTAAAATGCACGATAATTATAAAAAGTTAAGGCTATATAGAATTAAATTCATTCATATATATAAATATTTATATTAATATTATAATATGTTATATACATATTTATTTCATTAAAAATATTTAGTACATAATAACAAATTAATATTAAATTGCCCGAACCCTGAAATTGAGGAAATTAAAAAATATAAAATTCGTATCACAATAAATATAAATGCTATAACATTCGCGTCCGCGAACGTGTTAATTTCTTCATTTCGCACATAAATTCTCTTAATTCAGTTACACGAAACAGCTTTGAAGTGAAAGCCCTGTTTTCACGTTTAATTCCAGAAAAATCTGTTGCGTTCCGAAGGAAAGGGAATTGCTGGAAGAGAGAGGATGGTTCAAGGGTGAATTATATAATTCGTAATCAACATCCATTTACAATTAGCGCGTGCGTAAATTGATATAGAAAAACGTTAATGTCAGCGATTTAAATGATCGTTTCAGCGAGACGAAGATTCATTGCTTTTAATAATAGAATCTGACTCAATGTTTGCGTGCTTCTTTGGGTGAAATAAATTTTTTCCTTGGCTAGAGGAAAAAGAGGAGGAGTTAATGAAATTGTGAGTCACAATGACAGTGAAAAGCAAAACTGTGGCAAACAGTAATTTAAATCTTGGTGCAATTGAAAGGATCGCGTAAACATACGTTCATTAGTTGTCGGAATACGAATCAGCACTTATGTTATCGGACAAACGTTCTTAGCAAACGAAATGTTTAAAGGGAAATGTTTAATCTAGTGTAATCGTTGATTAAAGAAACTTGTCTGGAGCTGTATTTTTTTTTCATTTTCATTCTTTTCAAGTGGCGTATTTATTTTTTAATTCATTGCTTTGGTTTCGTGTGGATTGGCAGGAAGATATTAATGTGAAGAGTTTTTTGCTTATTATATTGATGCACTCAATATATTCACATTCAAATGATAGCTTTGCTCGAATTTTGATCAATTTAAATTTTGTTGTTATTTAATTTTGATCAATTCAAATTTGATTACTCTTTAAGTTTTGCTTGTTTCTAATTTTGATGAATTCAAATTTTATTATTTGAATGTTAATAACTTCAAATTTCGTTGTTACTTAAATGTTAATAACTTCAAATTTTATTATCACTAGAATGTTAATAAATTCAAATTTCCCATTATCTGACTGTTAAGAAATTCAAATTTTCCTATTATCCGACAACCAATAAATTCAACTTGCCTTAATCTTCGAATTAGAATAAATGAAGAATGCCAGGTAAACGACAGCGAATGGAACACTTGTCTCGACCGTCTCAATGCCATGAGAAACGTCGGGAAAACAGACGAACGAGGAAGCAGATTTTATTGAACGTTTCACGGTTTCCCAGGCGCAGAACTGCCCCAGTTATGAAATGTAGTAAACGGAATTACCTCGAAACTGACGGTTGGCGTCTTCTCGTAGAACTTCATGTTCTTCACTTCGCCGTTGATGTTGGTGTCCCCGTTCAGCGTGTAGTGTTGCGGCCATTTCATCTTATCGGCGAACCCAATGAGTCCAACGCGCACATCCCTAAGTGGATATGAACGTTATGTACAGTTACGATCGAACGAAACAGCCGTTTCAATGACTAACAAGTTCAATTTTTTTTATTAACCCTTTGACTGCTGAAGGCGTATATATATATGCTCTCAAAAGTCCATCAATATATACGAAAGGCGTAAATATACGCCCTCGCATATCCATCGATATGTACGAAAGGCGTAAATTTACGCTTTCTGCATTTTTTTTTACTTTATGTTAACACATTGCGTACTGGTAACGAGAAATCTCGGTTTTATATAAAGACACTCAGTTATGCAACTTCGCTAATTATCACAGCATTGAAAAAAATATAAAATTTTTCAATTTTCTTCTTTATATTCAATTATCATCTATTATTATTGAAAGAATAATGTACGAATTACGTTAAGTAAATTAAAGTTGCTTAAAAAGTTACTTGAATCGAAAAAAATGGATATTTTAATTTATTTGCAATTATTATTAAGAATATAGCAATTTTCATTTCATTTACAAAATAGTCATGGTAACTCTACTTGTTAACTTCAAATCGATCACTTACAAATTAGCCACAGTAATTGTACTCATTAAGTTTGAATTACGTCGACGTTAGTATTTTTAAAACAGGCGTTTAAATTGGTAAATTCATATTTTATCGGGCACTTGTTTAAATTTTATGAACATTGCACAGCCAACGATGCAGTATCAGTTTTCATGGAGTTGAACGCGATTTCTGGTTAATTATCATGATATATTCAATGAAATTCAAATCGACGACAGGGAGACTGAGCCTCCGTTCGAATATTTGCAGTTTATATGAGTAGATTTATTCTAATTACTTCGAAATAGTTGTGAATATTCGAAATTCCTTGTAATTTATTATATTTTCAACGAGAAATGAGACACTCACGTCATTCCTTGCTGCTTCAATTCGTCCCTGAGCTCGGTTATCAAAGGTGTGACCATATCCTTGATGATCTTCTCGTTCGGCTGCACTTGTTCGACTACAATGACAATGTCGGCCTCTTTCTTGGGAATCTTCACGCTGAAGGCGTCACCGATGTCCACGGTCGCTGCACCAGCTTTGCAGTTCCCTGAAATCGGAGACAGAAATATTGCATTGGCACTCCTTGTGAGCAACTAGAACGAATTACAGGGCGAATTAGTTAAATTAATTAGACGATGGATCAGTCGTATCGAGTATTTTCATTAATGCAATTTAAATATATATATATATAATATATATAATAACATATATATATATATATATATATATATATATATATATATATATATATATATAATTAATTACTCATTTAAATATTATATATATTTAATCACGAATTATTCACTAAAATATTATAGATACATCTAATTATTAATTATTAACTTATTCACTCGAATTCTATAACATTAAAATCTACAAACCACATTGTCACGAATTTAATTCCATAGCCTCAATTTTTCGAAACTATTATGCACTTAACCCTCGGACTACGGCATGTGCATTGTTCCCTATGTTCACAACTCATTAAAATTTTTACTGCGAACGTGTTAAACATAACGTAAAAGTTCTGATACCAAATATCTAGTCATTTCATTTCTCAATGATTCATGTCCTATATTTTTCCTATGAAAGCACAAATGCATCAAAAACCTTCGAGATTCGCCCGACAATCGACGCATCAATGATCCCTCAAATCGTTCTGCTTCCCATTTGCCATGATTCCATGGTGAACTTTGTCGTACTAGGAGGCAATCTCTCCAAATTTGTAATAGGAAATTCGGTTCGAGCGCCTGGCGCGACACGGGGCTGTTTTCTTTGAGAAGTGCTTAGAGCACGTGGCCCGATGGTGAACTATAAATTAAGTGTCCCATCGCTGGCGAAAGCGGAGCTGCACTTGGACACAGCCCAACCATCGCGTAGAATAGATCTTGTATTTTAACCCTTTCGCGACGGGTGCCGTGTATATACGGCAGTCACTTGGCGCATCACAGCGGCTGACGCCGTGTATATACGGCAGCCACGTTTTGATAGCGAAGAAGTAAAGTAGCGAAGAATGGTCAGTCGCACTGTTGCGAAAAGTAGCGAAGAATGGTACAGGTGCGCCGTCGCGAAAGGGTTAAACCGTGTCTCAATAAACGTACTCTTTATCTTCCTATAGCAATGTTGTAAGACCAACTCATCGACAACAGCAACATCTCATCACCCCATAAACACATAGAATCATCCGGCAACAAACATCCTAATCACACTATTCAAGTGCCTACTCATCTAGTCTCCTGTACCTACTGACTCGCCCTGTCCTCTGCACTCTGCCCTTACTCTAGGCTTTGTATTTCCATTATTCACCCCCTGACTATATACATATATAAAGACCCATCTTGCCACATGGAGAACAACATTACTTGTACTTGCGTGCGGAACTGATCGTCACATAATAAAGTCTCCGAGTTTATCTTAAAAGTGTTGTTATAATTCTCTCAACCCGGAATTCAACAGCAATTTTACTGTTTCTGCCCACTGTACCCCTGATGCAAACCTTAAAATTACAACAAACTTCAAAGAAGGACGGAACTCACCGCAAGCTGCCGGTATTGTGGTACTTAAGAGGCCAGCCTCGTAACAGGTATAGTGGTAAGCCGTCGCGATCAAGCAAGCTCCTCCAGCCGTGTTAGCGGCGACTGCGTGGTCGCAGGCGTCACGATACGAACTCGGGTTGACATAGTTGAAGCAGGACCTGTAATCACATTTCATACACCCGTTACGAAAAGTTGAAACGCCAGCCCCGCTCTTATCCCCATCTGCGACCAGTGGTTACGGTGAAATTCCTCTTTAAAGTCCCGGCCGGGAGGACGTTCCGGAACATAAAAAGATGAAGTCGCGTCCCGCTCGCCGTATTTTCCTTTGCGGCAGTAAATGCAACGTAAAACGACGCAATAAATGCAGCGAGAGAGGTAAAGTAACGAATAACAGATGAGTAGAGGAAATGATAAGATGTCGCGTTTGTAGATCATTTATTAGTATTATGTAGATAGACGTTATATTAGCATTAGAATGAGGAAATATTAGAGCGCATTCGAATAAAGAAGATTAACCCTTTGCACTGTAATTAGTTGTCTGGTTTCTTCTTCTTAGTTAGTCCCATTTCCCATTTCATTGCACTCAGAAGTGCAAAGTGTCAGTTTCTTACTAGAAATATTTAACATTGTTTCACGAGACAAAGACGATATTCTTTGAAGCTAACACGAACAGAAATCACAGATACATTAAAATTTCGAAACGTTCGCAAGTAGGTGATAAAGAAATTGTATTTATTTCATTTAACTCTTTGTACTCGGAAGTTTCCCACTAGAAACGTTTAACATTTTTTGACGAGGCGAAGACGATATTCTTTGAAACTAACTCAAAGGGAAATCGAATTACCGGTATTAAATCACCGGTGACCCCCAAGCAAATCGAATTACTATAATTCACTCAATTAAACGATGATTGTTCGCAAACATTTCTATATTATAAATAATGCTACCCATTGCGGTGACATTCAGTTTGATGAACGTACAATGATAATAATCCAATTCAGTCAAATGATTTAATATTGTATTTTTTCCATTTTGTGTATTTTGCTCTATGAAATCGTGCGGCGTTCAACGTGTTAATTAACAGAAAAACCGGAAACTATGTCCTAATCTCTTGCTGTTCGAGTAATTAAATCATTTGTCTGCGACTTAGTCTTCCAAATATGAACATTTCATCTCGTCGAAATGTCGACGTTCGTCCGCAAAGGGTGAATATTATTTCATCTTGCAGAATGTTAAATATATATTTCTCTTTTTGCAATTTTTAATTAGACACGATCATAATTTAATGATAACTTACTTGAGGGGAGAGCTCTGGCTAGCGAAGTAGTCTGTACAAACTGGAGCACGGTCTTTATGATGGACAGCAGTTGCAGCGGGACAGTCATCCTTCAGCTTGTATGCGTTTCCAAAGTCAGATGCACTGTCGGTAATCTGAGGAAAGAGTGATTTTTAAAAGAAACGATCATTTCACTGGCAAAGAAATAATTCATTTTTAATCCAAGAAGTTTTGAACGTTATCTTAACCCTTTACACTTGAGAATATTTTTCGCAACAAATATTCCTTATTTTCTGATGAAATGTGTCAATGGTATTTTTTACAATTAATATAAAGAAATACCTTGCATAAATTAAATGACGAAATTATTTTATTTCGATGTTCTATGTGTTGGTAGATTATAGAAAATTTAATATCGAATTTTAAATTTTATAATTTTATTGGGTTAAATCAAATTCAATGACTAACAAGTTCAATTTGTTTGATTAAGCCTTTGACTGCTAAAGGCGTATATATATATATATATACGTTCTCAAAAGTCTATCAATATATACGAAAGGCGTAAATATACGCCCTCGCATATCCATTCTTTAATCGTTTCTTAACACTAGAACTATCGTACCAGTTAAAATCACTGGTTTCGATTTTTTTGTTTAGTAGTTATTGATATTTTCGAAGCATTGAATATTCGAAATGATTTTGAAAATAAATAGTTTCATTTCAGTACTATAATGAGTGTCTGAAGAAACTGAAAATAATCTATTGTTACAATTTTTATAGGAATTGCATATTAATCGTATTAAATGCTCGGAAGTTCTAGTGTTAAAGACGAAAAGTAAACGTTATGCTCATCGTTTAAGGAACTTCTTGAAAGATTATTTCTCGCGTTACACTCAAGTTCGACATTCAGAAGTCGTCATGTGTCAGAAACATCGTGTCTAAAAAGAAGAAAACGGGCCTCGTGGTCACGCGACCCGTTACGTACTTGTCTTCAAAAAATAATGGACTATCTGCCGAATAACCGAAAAAGAACGGCACGGTCACGGTTGAATAATGGAACGGAATCTTCGGTGGGAATTTATAAACAGAATCTATGTTCATTCCGAAACGCGTGAAACTGAAAACGCAACATCTAAGTGACAAAACTTTCTCTGTGGAAACGATAATGCACAAAATATAAAATCAATTTCGTTACATTCTCTGCTTATTCGAAAGAGAAATAAACGATTAAAAACGGTAATAAATAAATTCGCTGAAGCGTACTCTAAAATACGAGTGGAAATGAAAATCTTCATAATTGTACGCTGTTACAATCTGTATCGAACAAACACGAATCATTCGATTGAACCATGGTAGCTCTAGCGTTGATGAAACATTGCAACCGTCAAGATCGTTACCGAAATAAATAGCGGGGTAGCCAGCGCGTTAATCTATTTATCCCTCTGACAATCAATTTCACGAAAGCTCGGGGTGGACCCCAGGGGCCAATTAGCGGGGAAAGAAAGAACCGAATAGAGAACGTGGCTCGCCCGGTGAAAGATCGTTCAAGATACTCGCCGTACGCACGTGAGCCTTGAGTTTCCCGTTTCCAGGAACGCTCTCGGTTTCCGTGTCACAGTGGAAAACCGACCGGAAAGTTTGCGTTCGTGTCTGCGTTGGAACTAGTAGTTTTGCCCGGCTATACGAGATACGTGGGTAACCAGATATATGAGGTACAATGTGCTACTGACATGATCTCAGCAGGATTTTGGCTGAAAAGTGAAGAGGTACAAAGGGAGACGTGCATTCGCGGTTTGATAGTAATGCCGGAATTAGTTTCGGTATATCTTTGTTACTGGCCGAACCGTGAACTGAGGTGGACTGTATGGCTGAATCCCTTTGAGTCTCAAAACTTTTGAGCCACAGACAATTATCATGTCAGTAACGCACTGTACCTTGGTACCTGAATGTATGAAGTGCCTGGTTACTCAGTCATATGAGATATCTGGGTACTTGCATTTGTGGAACATTTGAGTATCGGGGCACATGGGATACCTTGGTACCTGAATATATGAAATGCCTGGGTACTCGGTCATATGAGATACCTAGGTACTTGGTCATACGAGATATCTGGGTACCTTAATATATGGAATATTTGAGTATCCGGGCGTATGAAACACCTAGGTACCCACATATATGAGAGACCTACGTACACAACCATATGAAGTACCTAGGTATTCGACTATATGAAATATCTGAATAGTAAAGCAACAGTAGAGCAAAATTATTCGGGCATCCCATAATATAGGCGAGCAGAGAAAATTCCTTAGGTATTTCATCAGATAGCCAAGTACCTGAGTACTCGGGTACCCGAGTATTTGATAAACTCCTATAACTGGTTACTAAGGGTATCACCATCCGACTTTCCAAGTATTCAACTACTACTCGAGGTACCCGAGCATCTTACAGATAACTCAGGTACCCGGCTACTTGACAAGTCACAGTTTTAGTCCACGTACCTTTCCAGAGGGCAGAGTGAAGTCGTCGTAGGGCTCGTTGTTGCCGTCGCCGAAGAGACCGCGCAGTTTGGCCAGGTAGAAACCGGAAACGTGGACGGCGCAGATCATCGGCTTCTCATCGGAACACGAGATACGCGCTCCGTAATCGGATTTCACGCTGGCGAACGGCGGGACCAAGTAAGCGTGCAGGTTCTTCGTGCTCGCCGGGAAATCGGCAGGTTTGTTGTTCACCAGAATCTAGGGTTGTAATTAATATTATGCTCAGTGTATAGTAGACGAAGTTTGATTAATTCATTCACAGTGGATCAGTTAAATCGACAATCATCCAATTTGCTTGTACAGTTGATTACATAACTATCAGTTAACCCTTAAAATGCTGAGTGGGGTCCCATAGGGAGACCAGAAAGTATTTTATCTTAATAATTTTGTAAGTGATTTTTTGTAATTTCTCAGATTTTATGTATTTTCTCTTTTCTCATCGTCAAGTATTGCGGATGATTTGTCTATTCTAAAAACATTACAGTTATTTTGCTTTAGCTATAAACATACTGGGGTCTCCAGGAGACAAATCATCCACAATACTTGACGAAAAAAGAGAAAACACATACAATATGAAAAATTACAAAAAACTACTTACAAAATTATTAAGGGCAAGTACTTTCTCGGCTCCCTATAGGACTCCACTCAGCATTTTAACACGTTGAATGCCCCGGAAATTTCGATCATATTTTGCTTATGAGCTGTATTGATTTTTTAAATAAAATATTAAGTTATATTCAAGTTTTCTTTTAATTTTATATATTTTGGTATCGTTTCTTGATGTTTTCGGTGCTTTGTAACGTATACAGCTATTCTTGATCATGTGTCCCTTAAAGATATTTTGTTACAAAAATTAACCACATGTGGTACACGTGTGGTACACATAGTACACTAAACGTGTTAAGGGTTAATCGAATTAGTAATTCAATGATATTATTAAATTAATGAATAATATATAATGTATAATGTATCGTGTAGTTTCGAGATTAATTAATCGATAATGCAGTCGAGTTAGTAAGGTATACTCACATTTCCGTTGTTCTTGAGGGTGATGCTCTCCTTGGGCTCGGTGATGGTAACGCTGATCAGGTTGCCTTCGTTGAAGTTAGCCACGATCGAGAAGTTGCCGTCTTGCATGTCCTGGGCAAGGATGTAGGTGCAGGTGCCAGGCATGGTCATGTGGCGGCCGTCGAACGTAAAGAAGTGTCCTCCGTCGGTGACGATACCCACTTTGCTGAACGGCGGGACCAGGTCGCTCAGGTGACGCGTTGGCCTGGAACATCATGAGCCTCTTTTTCGGTTCTGTTTCAATACTAAAGCTAGTGAATCAGTTAACACTAAAACTACCAGTAGGGTCAAAATCACCCATTCCAGATTCCCCCTTTTGCAATTATTAAATAGAAATTATTCTATCCTATGTTTCTCTGAGAAATTATTCAAAAATTGTAAATCAATTGAAGTCTGAACAGATGTGCTCTTCGAGTTTCTATAGAGAAATTTGAAAAAGTCAATTCAACTGCTCGGTAGTTCTAGTGTTAAAATGACCCAGTTTGAATTCTTTCTTTCGTAATCGCAAAACTTATTATTGTGTGCGGCAGAAAATTGGCTGTTCTCATTTTGCCGCGGCAAGGTTCACACAAAGGCTCGGATTGTTTAATACGTACACATCGGTGTGTACCATCGGTGTACCAATGGTGGCTGACATTTTCACATTAGACGACGTGTACCATCAAATGGTAGACTTAAATTATTAATAGTACTACTCTACTAATAGACTTAATTCTATTAGTAGAAGTAAATTATATTTTTATAATTTAATTCTACTAATATAGTAATTCTACTAATATAGTATAGTATACTAATAATTTAATTCTACTAATATAGTAATTCTACCAATATTGTATAGTATACTAATAATTTAATTCTGCTAATATAGTAATTCTACCAATATAGTATACTATACTAATAATTTAATTCTACTAATATAGTAATTCTACTAATATAGCATAATATACTAATAATTTAATTCTACTAATACTTATATTTGGCGAATCACTGTGCCAAATGCTTTGGTAATCAGGAAACATTGCCATATAGTTGAAAAGTAATTGACTTATCGATTTCAGTATTTTCAACTTTGAGAATTCAGCCGCCAGATGGGAGAGAGTGTAAATTGTGAACGCGTTAAACGGAAAGTAAGTCTGTTACCTGTATGTATAGTACAGGTCCAAAAGCGTTGGCAGTTCTCCGTTGCGCAACAGATTCATAGCGGAAACGCGTAAAGTGAAGATGCCCGGGAGCTTAGAGAGAAGGCTGAGGTCAAGGAGTGATGGGATTCGGACAGAACCGCCGACTGGGACGTCGCCCCATGTAACCTGCTTCTGCACCGCGGAGATGACGGATCGGATCGCGGGTACCGCGAGCGAGTAAAGTTTCTTCAGCTCGGCCGTCGTGTCGACCTAAAATTTAGTTTAGTTATTATTTCTCGTTCGTTGAATTTCAACGAATAGAAAATAAAATGCCTCGAAGAAATACGCAGACTCAATGCAACAGAATACATTAGACACCTACTTCAACGAAAGTCGCTGTTAATTATAAGAATTAACTTAATTTAATTAATTACATCTTTATATACGAATCCGGGATTGACGAGATCGACTAATTTGCGAGACAAGTTAACATTCCATTTCGAAACTAATAAAAGAAGCGATTAGCATTTAAGCATTAAGCTATTTAACTACAATTAGAAGCAAACAAATTCATTAGTCTTCATGTACCAATTAACCCCTTATTCTATGATTTACTTTCACGTGTGATATAACGTTGTCAGTAATTTATTAAAGAAAGAGGAAAATTCTATATATATTCTATATCCACGTTTGCTCTGCAATATGATAATTAATAACGGAAGAATAATATTTCATTTGAATTCAACAGAATCGATTAATATTTATGTTAAATTCCATTCGAAATCTTCACGAATCTCACAAGTTATAAAACAAAGGGTTAACAGTCCTACTAGCACAACCAAGAATATTTATATATTTATTCATTCATTCATTTAATCATTATTATTTATTTTATATAATATTAATATTTATGTTTGTTAACCCTTTGCACTCGAGAGGTGACTCTCAGTCACCGCTTGATTTGATTTGCAAAATTATAAAGTCTTATATATAATATCAAGCTTTGTACGATGCATCAATATATGGAATATTGAAATAAAATAACTTTCCTTCTCAATTTATACATGTTTCCTCATTAATTAGTTTCAAGGAACATCGTCTGTATCTCATCGAAGAATATCGAATATTTCTAGTGAAAAACTTTCGAGAGCAAAGGGTTAAATTCCATTCGAAATCTTCACGAATCTCATCCGTTACAAAACAAAGGGTTAACAGTCCTATTATCACACCCAAGAATATCCATTCTATTTATTCTATTATTCCTCGGAAACTAAATATTCCCATAAATACATCAATACATACCTTTTCTTGTTTCAAAAGCTTGCCGAAGTACTCGCAGGTGGCTTCGACGAGTAGCCGGACCTCCATAGTAGGCGCGGAGTTCTTCAAAAGGTTGCAAATTTCCTTGACGGTACCCAGAAGGTATTCTGGGACTTCCCAGTTCTTCAACTGTTCGTACCTCTCCTTCGCCATATCGTAAATCGACAAAGCCTTCAACTGATTGGACAGCATGGACGTGAATTCATCGATGTCGCCTTTCAATTTTTCCAGGATCTTCGTGACGGTCTTGGACAGGTCCTGCGTCAAGCTGCTGATAACGCTCATCACATCCTGCAGCTCCTTTTGGTACGAGTTTATCAGATCGAGGAGCGCCTCCAGGCACGCCTTGCCGAGTTTAGCGAGCGCTTCCAGGATCTCCATGAACTGTTCGAATATCTTCTGGTAATAAGTCTGCAGGACCGGGTAAACCGACTTCCACTCCTCCTTCAAGTTGTTCAGCATGTCGTTCAGTCGTTTCTGCAGCTGTTGCAAGCTCTCCGCGAGACTCTTCATGGCCTTGTGGATAACGGAGGCGATGCCGCCGAAATAATGTTTCCTTCGGGAACAGAGGATATAATGTATAGAAAATAATTCATTCTAGATATTCGATGTTTAGTTTATTATTTAGATATTATTTATTATTATTATTTGGATATTCAATATTTTAAGGTGGAGTGGGGTGAGTGCATAAACGGGGTAACTACACAAAGTTAACCCTTTGCGGACGAAGATTCTTTGAAATATACAAAACTTTCAGCAGACGAAGCAAAATTGTATATCAATTGCTTAAATAATAGAAAAACCAGGAAATACGTGCTGATCTCTTGCTGTTTGAATAATTAAATAGTTGGCGACTTAGTCTTCGAAACATCAACATTTCATTTCGCCGAAATGTCGACATTCGTCCGTAAAGGGTTATATTAACTAACCATCCTAACCATGTAGATGTCGCCCAATTAATGAAGGGAATCCCCTATTTATGCCAACCAGTTCGAAGGTACCGCATGTAAAGAGCACGTCTACTTACGAAATACATTATATACTACGAAGCAACGTATTTGAATGCGGTAAAAAGTATTTTATAGCAAACGTATCAATAGTTATACTCTTGCCTCGTAGCATATGATATAAGACTTCAAATCGGTTTTAATGCCCCATTTTCGGGGAAACTGCACAGTTGTTGGATTTTTTACAATTTTCTTAAAAAATTAAAACATACAAGTGAAATTGGCGTTTTTGTCAATGTTAATTAAAGCGTATTAACTCAAGTATTCGTTGATTTCAGTAAGTGTCAAAGTATTATAAAACGAATTAAAGATATATGGGTTGAAAGTCAAACTTAATAAAAACTGGGGTGCACTTAGCCCACTCCACCTTATAGGTATTCAATGATTCTAGAGAATTCATGTTTATCGTTGAACGCGAGGATTATTCTTTCAGAGGAACTGCGAGAGAATTTTGGAAAAAGGATATAAGACGAGAATAGAATAATTGACTTCGCGTCTCTTGTTAACACTAGAACTAGCACTTGAACCGTCTTTTTAAAGTGTCTAAAATGTAGTAATACCTAAACTGAAATATAACTCAATTGAAATCTTAAATTCACGCTTTTAGATTTTATAGACTTATATTTCAGTTTGGGTACTACTTAATTCGTTTCTTTAGTCATTTGTCAAACAGGTATTCGTACCTTTTCAGTCAGTATTGCATTGTGTACTTTTTAATCGAAAGAATTTCAATTATTTTAATCTTGACTTGAACTCTTCGAGTGTTGTTATTAGCATCATTTATTATTATATTATTGTCTTAAGTATAGCGTTCTAATTGAAAAAATTTCTATTATTTTCATCACAAAGGAATCAAGAAATGGGTCATTTTGACCTATTTAGTAATTCTAGTGTTAACGATTTATCTAACACGAGGGAGATCATTGAATGTAATCTGTTTCTTAAAATTCTCATTCTTTCGAAGAAATTGATTTGTTATATTCGGTTTTATTAACACTAAACCTACCGAGCAGTTACACTGACTTTCTGAAATCCCTTTATAGAAACTTCAAGAGTGCATCTATCGAGACTTTGATTGATTTCTAATTCAGTTTGCGCATTGCCAATTATTATTTCTTTAATAATTTCTCAGAGAAACATCTGTTATCTTTTTAATAATTGCTAAATGAAGAAATCGGGAATGACTCATTTTGATCCGTCTGGTAGTTTTAGTGTTAAAGTGTCTTTTGAAGGAGCATTTGAAGTCGTGATACTTACAGAGTAGCCTCGATCGCTTTGACAGTTTCATCAGCGCTGATCTCTTGCTCGAGTTTCTTCAGCTCGCCCTGATAGTAATCCAACAGTGGCTGCAAGTTTGGCTGTGCTTTCTTCAAGTGTTGCGTAAGGTCACCGGTTTCTTCTGTCAAATGTTTCATCGCGCGCTCGCCGACTTCGGAGCTCTTCTTCTTGAGCTCGCTGGCCCTTTTCTCTTCATCTTTCTGAAATATTCGGAATCGATGCTCAGTGCCATCGGGATTCGCACGAAAATCCTCAACGTCGTAGTCAGTTCGCGAATTTCACCGTTTGAGTGGTAGAGGTTTTTAAGAAAACACGCTCGGAAAAAGCCGATCAACGCGATAGCGCTTGTTTTAATCTATGTTAACACATTGCGTTCCGGCTAATTATCAGAAAATTAAATTGTGAGGATTTCCAGTGAGATCAACTTATATCACTATCTATAAAAGAAACTTAGGTATCATATTGTTATGTAATATATTTTAAATGGACAATTAGTTCTAATCAAATTTAATATTTCCTTAAATGCTGTGGTAATTATCAAAGTTATATAGCTACGAGTCTTTATATAAAAACGAAATTTCTCGTTACCAGTACGCAATGTGTTAATACTATTATATATATATATAAAAGTAGCAATGCGACATACACGCGTCTAAAAAGTTGAGCACGTTTCGTCAGATTGCGAGTGCGCCGTCAGTTGTATCGTTCAAATGCGCTGGGCTTTTTCGACATCAAATCTGAAGAGCGTAAGATCGACACCTGGGACTCAAACGGTTAATGTCGTAACAACACGATGGAAACACTCAGAATTCAAGCTTCGTTCAACTTTCTTCGGTGTTCCTTTTATTTTCCTTTATTCTGAAGTATTGGGTTGCCTGGAAAGTTCGTGCCCATTTTTGGTAGAAAAAACTACAGATGAAGATCAGATTAAAACATTGATCGAGAATAACCCACGCTATACGACACACCCAACAGCACGACAACGCTTGTGTTAATCTATGTTAACCGTTTGAGTGCCAATTAGATTAGATTAGTTAAACAGTTAACTGTGTTTCACGAGTATACAAAAGCTTGACATGATATTTTACTCAAAACAACGAATATCTATATTAAATAGCAAAAATACGTTGCCTCGCAAGCAGTAAGTTCGTAAAGCCATCGAGTCTAAGTAGACCTTAAATTCGTTTAGGCAAACTTTGAAATAGTCAAAATGTTTCTTCTGACCCTACATAACCTTGAAGGTCACTCTGCAATATACGAATGAATTCGTAGGCACACGCTTTTATATGATATAAAAAAATATACAGCATTGCATTTATAAAAATGAAGGTCACCTTCATATCTAATAAAATAGTATAAACACAAAAAGATTGCATACGCCATTGTGTTGCGTATAAAAAACAGCATTAGTTTTTCCTCTTTCTCTTTTCTAATATTTACTATTCACAAGAAAAACGCTGGCTAGTACCATAATGATGTGAACACCCTATATATCCTTCACATTAGCCAGTTAAGTGTGTTTGACGAATATACACATCATCGCAAAGCTTGACATACTAATCTTTCATGAATTCTTTATTTTTTCACATAAACATGTAATTCTTCTCTGTCTCGCTTTGATCTTTCATTAAAATATACTCTGCGTGCGTTTGTTCTGCGTTCGACGAGTACACGCTCCATTTTTCGATTTTATTGTGCGCAGAATGAGAGGTTTTCCCAACTAAATTCCACAGTTAACTGGTTAAATATGTGAATATCCAGCATCCACGAGCATTATATTCAGATCTGTCCTTACGTCATCTACCAAAAATCGGCACGAACTTTCCGGACAACCCTTTTACGAATACGTTGACATTGAACTTCGATGTTACTCACCCAAACTTTCATCAAGTTCTCCTTGTCATAACTGAAGTCCGGTTTCAGGAACTGTTTCTCGTCGAGATGTAGCAACACGCGGAAGAGCTCTTTCTTGGCACTATCTTCGTACATATTAGCATGGACCTCGGCTAACTGACCCAACACGAGTTGACCGTTGACGACTACCTTCTCCTTCGGGTTATCTGGAAATGATCAATTCTCAGTTCCATACTAACTGTGGTAAATTAATGTATTATTCTTTTATTTGACGCCACTCAGCTAACAACTAACGCTCGTTCTCTCCTGGCACTCGTATTTATCAACACTCACTCACATTCTTTCATTCTTCATAAAACCAATCTTTCGCATCTTTTACCTGTCGCTCTATTTCATTCGTTCTCACTCATTCGCATCTCGTACTCATTCAAAGATTCACTCGCTACAAGGGTGTCCCAGAAGTCTAGGATTCAACTCACCTTGCCTGTACATCGTGGCTTTGAAGCTGTTGAGTCCCTTGGACTCGAACTTCAACACCTCAGCCGGCTCGCCTAGCAAGCTCAGTTCCCCGAGGATGTTCACAGCGTCCTTCGACACGTCTATCTTCCATTGTTCTCTGATCAATTCCTGGTCAGGCAGAGTGAGCAGCAGGTCAGCACCGTTCCAATTTGCTCGGGCCAGGCCGCCCAGGGATTTTGGTTTTTGATGCACATCGTTGTACGTGAAGTAGCTACTGGCTCCAACCTCTTTGTCGCTGTAGGCCGCCCATGAGTTCAGGCTGAGCTTCAACTTCTGGCCGACGCTGTGCACCTGGATGTCGCTGGTCACGTTGTTGCCGCCGCCTATCGGATGACGTTGCACGTCCGCCGTGATCGAGATCTTCTGCGCCTTCTTCTCGAAGACGTCGACCTCCAGGTTGGCGTGCAGCAGGCGTTCCTCGCCGACATTCAGAGTTCCTTTCACCACCATGTTCTTTCGAGGGAATGAAACGTTTTCATTGAAAGAATTTCGGTTAGCGTTTTAAGCTTGAACTCTTTGAGTGTTGTTAGGATTGTTTGTTATTATGTATAATGTTTTCATTGAAAGAATTTCAGTGACCGTTTTAATCTTGACTTGAACTCTTTGAGTGTTATTAGGATTAATTATTATTATGTATAATGTTTTAATTGAAAGAATTTCAGTTATCGTTTCCATCTTGAACTCTTTGAGTGTTATTAGGATTAATTATTATTATGTATAATGTTTTCATTGAAAGAATTTCGGTTAGCGCTTCCATCTTGAACTCTGAGTGTTGTTAAGATTGTTTGTTACTATATATAATGTTTTAACTGAAATTCTTTCAGTTATCATTTTGATCTTGACACGAAGTCTTTGTTGTTATTAGGTATTATGTTATTATGCTACATTTGAATG